ATATATATATATATATATATATATATATATACACCCTATTAATGGGTACAAGTGGGTCGTTTGAACAGTGGGTCATTAATGATTATATTTTTGGGTAGTGTGTGGTAGCAGGAGCACATCCAATATGTCATTCTGGTGGTAATAAGTAATTTCCGAATCGCATACATTTCATGGTAAAATAGTTATGTTTTATTTTTATATTTTTTCATTTCATATTCAGAACCCAACTAAGCCTTTAGAGTTTTTTTACAGAGCAAAATGATTTGCAAACTTTTAACATTTGTACTCGTGGTTATTAAATCGCGCCAATTCACCAAGGCATCATACCGATAATCTACACATTTCTATATAAACTGAATAATGTTAGTACATTTACTCGATTTTACATTGCAATTAAACACGTCTGCCAACACGTGCAACAATTAGAACATAGATCTACCAAGTATTGATAATATCTTCTGGGTTATCGCATCTCCGATCCTACATGCGCTTCCTCGGTTAACACGCTTAGTGTCGCCTACGTTGGTCTAGCGTGTGACCTGGCAAATTCTATGAGACTCGGAGGCAGCCTGTTCTCGTATGCAACGCTGTCTCTGACGATGAGGCGCGCGCAGTGGCACTTCAGCGAATGATACTGAGCGCTCATTTTGTCATGTATCTGGTCGCTCGACCCCACGTTGCTGCGGAAATGCGTCGGGTAAATCCGGCGCCAGAGCTCATAGGGCGTCTCTCCCCGTGCGTTCACCACGTCAACGTGTGCGCCGTGGTTGAACAGCAGCGCGTGCACTATCTGCACGCACCCCTCCCTCTCTCGCGCGTAAACATCGTCTTTGCATGCGAGCATCGCCCTACAGAAGCTGTGCAGCGGGGTGTCGCTTTCGCTGTCGCGTGTGTTAACCTGTAGAAGTACGCCGGCGGACTCGCACGTCTGTAGAAGAGCTGACGCCGCTTGTATCACTGACTCCACTTGCACCACTGACTCCGCTTCTGCTGGTACTGCGTGTGCTCCTCGCTCCCTCATCCTGGCGCTTCTTATCTCCGCCTGGCTGCCTATAATAGCGAACGGTGTCATCTTGTAACAATCGACGAGGTTCGGGTCAGCTCCGTGTTTCAAGAGAAGAGTAATCATCTGTGTGAACGAAAGAAACGAGGATGGTTAACAACCCGATTTTAGGTTCGTTCCTTAAAGAACAAATTTCTCCGAGCATACTTCCTTTATTACTGTTGCCGATTACTAACTATTACTATTATTAAATTATTAACTATTAACCGATTACTATTATTGATTACCTTTATTATCTAGACAAAAATACATTGGAACATCGCTAAAATTGTCTCCGTCGTTCACAACGCCCGCCCGCAGTTTCACCTCGGTCCCGAGTAGATTGCAGGAGTAGTGTAATGCGGTAAAACTACAACATATCTATTATTAAATGTTAACCGATTACTATTACTGATTACCTTTACCATCTTTAAGAAAATACATTAGGACATTGCTAAAATTCGGTCTCAATCATTCGCAACGTACGCCCGCAGTTTTACCTCGGTTCGGACGGCAGTAAGGGGGAGTTTCACCGCGTTACACTACTCCTGTGATCGACTTACCCAAACGCCGCGGACTCGCACGGAGAGACCTCCTTGCACGTCGCGGCTCGCTCTGGCTGGCTGGACGGCATGCGCCTGCTACTGGAGGCCGGCGCCGACCCCAACGTCGCCATCGGCGCCGTGTGAGAGCAGCATCCGCACCGCGGCCTTCTTGCCCTCCCTCACTGCCATCATCAGCGGCGTCTTCCCGGTCTGCGTCACGGCAACGTTTGGATCTGCACCCGCCTTCAGTAGCAGGCGCATGATGTCCAGCTCGCCGAAGTACGCCGCGTGGTACAAAGAGTTCCTTCCGTGCGAGTCCGCGGCGTTGGCGTCGGCGCCGCGTGAGAGCAGCATCCGCACCGCCTCCTCATCGCCCTCCCACGCCGCCATCATCAGCGGCGTCTTCCCGCTCTCCGTATCGGCGACGTTTGGATCTGCGCCGGCCTCCAGTAGCAGGCGCGCCATGTTCACATCGCCAAAGGAAACCGCGTGGTACAGGCAGTTTCTTCCGTACGAGTCCGCGGCGTTGGCGTCGGCGCGGTGTGAGAGCAGCATCTGCATCGCCTCCTCCTCGCCCTCCATCACCACCACCATCAGCGGCGTCTTCCCGGTCTGCGTATCGGCGACGTTTGGATCTGCACCGGCCTCCAGTAGCAGGGCCACGAATTCCATCCAGCCAAAATAAGCCGCGCGGTACAAGGAGTTCCTTCCGCGCGAGCCCGCGACGATGGGGACGGCGCCGTGTGAGAACAGCATCCGCACCATCACCTTATCGCCCTCCCACACCGCCTTCATTAGCGGCGTGTTCCCGCTCTCCGTATCGACGACGTTTGGATCCGCGTCGGCCTCCAGATGCAGGCGCTCGCTCTCCAGCCGGCCAAAATAAGCCGCGTGGTACAAGGAGTTCCTTCCGTGCGAGCCCGCGGCGTTGGCGTCGGCGCCGCGTGAGAGCATCATCTGCACCGCCGCCTCCTCGGTCTCCATCACCGCCATCATCAGCGGCGTCTTCCCGCTCTCCGTATCGGCGACGTTTGGATCTGCACCGGCCTCCAGTAGCAGGTCCACTATGTCCATCTGGCCAGAGCGAGCCGCGTGGTACAGGGTGGTCCGTCCGTACGAGTCCGCGGCTTTGGGGTCGGCGCCGGCCTTCAGTAGCAGGCGAATGATGTCCAGCTGGCCAGAGCAAGCCGCATGGTACAGGGTGGTCTCTCCGTGCAAGTCCGCGGCGTTGGCGTCAGCGCCGTGTGAAAGCCGCATCCGTGCCACCGCCTCCTCGCCCTCCGTCACCGCCTTAATCAGCGGCGTCTCCCCGCTCTTCGTCATGGCGACGTTGGGGTCGGCGCCGGCCTCCAGTAGCAGGCGCATAATGTCCAGCCAGCCAGAGTAAGCCGCGTGGTACAGGGTGGTCTGTCCTTGCGAGTCCGTGGCGTTGGCGTTGGCGCCGTATGAGAGCCGCATCCGTGCCACCGCCTCCTCGCCCTCCGTCACCGCCTTAATCAGTGGCGTCTCCCCGCTCTTCGTCATGGCGACGTTGGGGTCGGCGCCGGCCTCCAGTAGCAGGCGCATGATGGCCAGCTGGCCAGAGCAAGCCGGCGACAGGACCTGCGCGTTTCCGTCGCCACGGTAACGCGCGCGGAGGTCCGGTCCATTGTCTAGCAGCGCGGCTGCAACATCAGCGCTGGCTGTTTCGCAGGCGAGCATGAGAGGCGTTCGCCCGCGCTCATCCTCCTCTTGCAGGGGAGCGTCATGCAGCAGCAGCTGTTTCACAATCTCCATCTTCTCTTCCGTCCTGTTTCGCGAAAGTGCGCAGGCGACGTGGAGAGGCGTCTCGTGCGTGAACGTACGCATGGATGTTTTCGCTCCATCTCGCAGAAGTTCTAACACTTTCTCAACGTCCCCACGTGAACAGGCAGCATGCAGGTCCGACATTCTTCTCTCCACTGTAGGCACGCACTGTGTGTCTTTATGTTGCGCGAGGGTCCAGTGCAGTTCACCTACCTAAAATGCACACTGATGGTCACGATTAATCCGTGGATATATTTGCTTTATCTGTCTATCACATACATATACTGCTTGATACTGATTTAAAATACTTATTGAGCCAAATATGGTTTTCGTGTTTGGAATTTAACATCTGACCTTAAATGCGCATTTCAGCTGGCTATATATATAGTCATATAAAAACCAGAAATTGTAACAATGTTGGTATTTCTATGCTGACTCTTTCTCTATATCTCTCGCTCTCTATATATATCTATATATATATATATATATATATATATATAAATAAATATATATATAAGAATTATAGAAATAGGAATATTATATATATTTTTTATTAGCTTTTGTTATTAAAGCTGAATGACGTGATAAGAATAAGAATATTAATTATTAATTAAGAATATTATATATATTCCTTTGTTAAGCTGAATGACGTGCTTGAGATTGTTACGCGGATATAATAATATTTATAACAAACTTCATTCATACTGATACATGCGGTAACATTGTATGCGAATAAAGAATAAGATACAAGTTGTTCCGTTGTAAATAAGGAATGAGGAAGTGATGAAAATGTATCCAATTCTACTAATATCATTTAAACGCAGATTTGAGTTTAACACAAAGTATAACAATGCATGCAGTTGTTTACGTGTGCGTGCGTGGATGTGAGAGAGAGCACCACGTGGCTTTGCGTGACCTATATACACATTCGGCAACATCTCACCAGTACATTCTACCAGCGTCTACTGCAAACGAGACAATTGGGCGAATAAATTCTACTGCTATTGGATAGAACGACAGAAATGTGTTATAAGTTGCCGATGTGGACTTGATCGCATAAGACAGAGTTAATGGCATACGTGTGCGCGTATATGTGCGTATATGTGGCATACGTATGCGCGTATATGTGGCATACGTGGATTTGAAGAAATAATATTCATGCACTGCAGCATGGTCTGCAGTAGCTCCAAGAAACGGTATTGCTAGGGTTAGAATACGTATATTGACGTTAGTCACACAGCCTGGTTGGGTAAGGTCTGTAGAAGAAGACCGAAGAGACGATATACGGTAAATATATGTACGTACATACCAAATATTCTCGACGTTCGCGCCTTATAGTGACTGAAACGATACCCGCCCGCGAAGCGCACTACTTACACCGAGACGGCGATCACTGCTCCTATTTAAAAAGTGGTTAAGTTTGGTAATCGAACAGTTCGAAGCAACCTTTTTTGTTTATCCGATATGGTATGTAAATAGAAGATCACAAGCTGTACTTCGTTTAATTTCGTAAACTTATTGTGAAAATTAAAATACAAATTGAACTATTTTCATCAATCTTGAGTGAGCGGAAGAATCCATGTCAAATGTGAAAATAGGCCTAGAATGTTTCCGAGCCATTGTCACAAGCTCTATAGACATGCAGCGAACTGCAGCGTACCTGTCTATGTTTAAGTCGCGCTACAGGTCGTGCTGCGCAATGCGTAAAAGAGTGAGAGAGAGAATAGACATGCAGCGAACTGCAGCGTACCTGTCTATGTTTAAGTCGCGCTACAGGTCGTGCTGCGCAATGCGTAAAAGAGTGAGAAGAAGAAGAAGAGAGAGAGCGAGAGAGAGAGAGAGGGGGAGAGAGAGAGGAGGAGAGAGAGAGGAGGAGAGAGAGAGAGAGAGAGAGAGAGAGAGAGAGAGAGAGAGAGAGAGAGAGAGAGAGAGAGAGAGAGAGAGAG